TAGTATTTAAAGAGTTTATTAGCAACATTGATCTGAATTCATCTGCACTAGAAGCTACGGAATGTATCTCAGGTTTAGAGATAACACATAGTCTTGGCCTTTCTGGGGTTACAGAAAGGGGCAACTGCTTTTAGTTCTGTGGGTTACTTTACTTTTTTAACCTCTTTAGGTCACAATGAACATTTTTTAAAAATGTGTAATTAACTGTCGGGATTGTAACTTTTAAAAATATTATTGTTCTTACATTTGCTTTTTGCCAATACAATAGTCTAGCAAACATAAGAAACTGAGGTCAACTTGCAGAGCAAGGCCAAAATTAAAATAATAAATTCTGTATCACATTGCCAGATGTTCCATAGTCAAGCTGCAGGTAGAAATAAAAAAAGAATGTATTACTATTGCATTTTTATTATCTTTTTCTCCTAATTAAAAAAAGTTTTTATTATGGAAAGTATCAAATATGTCCAAAAATAGAGAAGTGGCATAAGGACCACTACATACGTGCCATCACCCAACTTCAGCAATTGTAACTCCCGCCATCTTGTTTCTTCCATGTCCTACCTAGTTCCTCTCCCCTGCTCTAAGTCAATTATTTTAAAGCAAACCCCAGACATTGTTTTATTTCATTTGTGTGTATTTTATTTCATTTGTGTGTATATATTTCTAAAAGACAAGGACTCTTTAAAAATATAACCACAATACTATTATCTCACTTTAAAAATTAATGATGATTCTCTCATCCAGTACTTTCTATATCCAATCAGCTATATCCATTTTTTTCTATATCAATTTTTTTCATTATATTCTGAATGACTATTTTTAATAGGGGTTTGTTTGAATTAGCATCTAAACGAAATCTGCACTTTGATATGCCTCTTAAGTTCCTTTTAATTTATGGATGCCCTCACCCTCCTTTTTTTTCCTGCCATTATACTGTATTTGTTTAAGAAACTGGGTCATTTGTTCTGTGACATTTCTCACATACAGAATTTGCACTTTGCATCCATGTGGTGTCATGTGACGTGTTCTGTTGTTTCCTGTGCTTGCTGTAAACCTGTAATAAGATTTAGAACTTGTTCAATTCAGATTTCATTTTATTCTTTGTTGGCATAGTGTGTATTTCCATCAGGAGGACATCAGGCTGTTCATCTCCCTTTCTGTGATATTATGATTGATTAGTCTGTTTTAGGTATTTGATTTAGCCTGATTCATCCATTTTAAAGTATCTCATCAGCTTTTCACCTAATAAATTTAGCAGCCATTGATGATCATGCCTAGATCTATTATTTCAAGAGGAACATAATTTTTTTTAAGTAATTTTTAAGAGCTGGGGTGTGACTGAGTGGCAGAGCTACCTGATTTTCTTGCCAAGTTTGCTGGTTCATCATTCACCTGAAATGCTAAGTCACAGAGAATCTTTATTGAGCTAAAAAGTAGATGGTGCCAGCCTGGAAGCTCTGTGAAAAAAAGAAGCTCAAAGTGACCCAATCGTCCTTCTGTGGAGATGGCATTCTCCTGTGGCAATTTCACAGGTTCAAGCCTAAAAGGAAAAAGGCATTTTTTTCTTTTGTTTTTGTTAAATAACGAAGCTTGGACTACATCAAGCTTTTAGCATATACTGTTCTATTTGTACATTGTCATTTAATCTAAAATTACAACAGAAGGGAAAGTGTTGAGAAACATCATTGAAATATCCCTGCTCCTTCAACCCATTTCTCTGTTGGGGTTTGAAAGTTGGCGCAGTGAATACACTCCCTCCCAGCTTCACACTCTCATGGTTGTGAATGCTTTTCCTTTTCACTGCCACCCTTGGAGGAGATCAGCCTGGAAGTTCTGGGAAGAGGATTCCAAACAAGTAGCTGCTTATTGACAGGAATTCTAGGTGAATTGATGCTTCACACTGGAAGGTAATTTAGAAATTAGCTTGTTTAACTTCTTTGCCAACGCAAGAGTCTCTCCAACAGAACCTGACTAAACAGGGGAGGGCTTCTCTTCACAATCTCTTTTATGGTGCTCTTCTGTTTTTTCTGCCTTTTAAATTCAGTGTGTCCTATTTTTACTATTGGATTATATATTCCTTGAGGAGAAGAAATGTATCCAATTCTTCTGTTTAATTTTAATCCCAGTAAGGTGTAAAAGATAAACACAGACTTGAGCTATAACGGTGAACACAGATTTTACTCCTAACTACTGATAATAGGAGAAAGAGCTGAGCTTCCTTCTGATTTGTGCAGAGGTGATTGTGCCTTTCAAAGGGAAAATGAGGAAGGTGGTTGAGTGGGGGGTTCAGTAGAGTCACAGAAGTGAAGATTTAGAGAGTTGGTTAGTGTAAAACCCATTAAGCCAGCTGGGTCTGCTAGCTGGCAGCTGTTAAAGTTAGGATTGTATCCTTTCACAGACTAGGAGACAGAGACCCTGTCCTTCCTGGTGATTACATTTCGAAGGATGGTTCTTAGGTCCTTGAGAGAGATGTTTCTGAGTTGTAAAAGATGAGTACTCACAATCATAAACACTTTTTAATAAATGCTCTAAAAAAGGGTGGTCAGGAGCCTGTTGTTAGACATTGGCTAGAACAAAGAGTAAGTTCTGACAGTCTTGAGATTTCTCAGGCAGGCATTTTAATGAAGGACTGGGGTCCTCTTAGGGACATGGCCTTGCCCTGCTAGAAGCCATGCTAGAGTTTGGTCTTTTCCTAGTGTGGAGGTTTGAACAGACGTTTTGTGCAGTTCACAAGGCTATTAATGAACGTTTTGACTGAACAAATTCAAATAAATTTAATTTCCTTTACCCCCCAAGGAAAGGGACCAACTAGAATGCCTTCCATTTTACCTTAGTGCTTAGTCACAGGCAGGAAACAGTAATAACACCTCCATTCATTGTCCCTGTCTCTTTCTGTCAATAAGCATTTTTCCTTCTTCTTGAAGGCTAGCCTCTTCATTCGTGAATAGGAATTTATCACCCTACCACAAATATTGTGATTTTTTTGAAATAATTTAATATGGGTCAATCTGTTATAAAAATAATGAAATATTTTCAAATCTACTGCAGAATTCTGGGCACTATTAAGAAGGGACAGTTCCATGTTGTCATTTCCAGGTCTGAGAAGAATGATGTTGTTAATTTAATGGGTATTGCATTGAATCTATTGATTGCCTTTGGTAGGATGGACATCTTAATAATGTTGATTCTTCCTATCCAGGAACATGAAATATTTTTCCATTTGTTTGTGCCTTCTTGGATTTCTTTCTTTCTTTCTTTCTTTTTCTTTTTTTTGGAGTTGGAATCTCACTCCATCGGCCAGACTGGAGTGCAGTGGCCGCTCCCGGCCACCGCAGCCTCCACCTGCTGGGCTCTGGTGATCCTTCTGCCTCAGCCTTCCAAGTAGCTGGAACAACAGGCGCGCGCTACAACACCCGGCTAATTTTTTGATTTATTGTAGAGATGAGGTCTTGCCAAGTTGGCCAGGTGGGTCTCGATCCCGTGGGCTCAGGCAATCCACTCACCTCCGCCTCCCAAAGCACGTGGGATTACAGGCTGTCACCGAGCCCAGCTTCTTCTTGGATTTCTTTGAGCAGTGCTTTGTAGTTTTCATTTTAAAGGTCTTTCACTTCTCTGGTTAGGAAGATTCTGAGGTATTTCATTTTCCTTGTGGCTATTGTGAATGGGATTGTGCTTTTTATATGGTTCTCTGCCTGCTTATTGTTGGTGTATAAGAATGCAACTGTCTTTTGCACATTTATTTTGTACCCTGAGACTTTGCCAAAGTCCTTTATCAGTGAAAGCAGGTTTTTGGCAGATTCTTTTGGATTTTCAAGGTATAGGATCATATCATCAGCAAAGAGAGATAACTTAATCTTCCTCTTTTCCTATTTGGATACCCCTGGTTTTCTTCTCTTGTCTAATTGCCCTAGCTAGGACTTCCAACACAATGTTGAACAAGAGGGGTGAGAATGGGCAGCCTTATCTTATTCCAGTTTTCAAGGGAAATGTTTCGAGTTTCTGACCATTTAGTAGTATGTTAGTGGTAGCAATTTCTGAAAGAACTAGAAATTCACCTTCCATATGACCCAGCAATCCCCTTATTGGGAGTATACCCAGAACAACTCAAATCGTTCTACAAAAAAGATACCTGCACACATATGTTTGTTGCAGCTCTATTCACAATAGCAAAAACCTGGAACCAACCATGCTGCCCATCAAAGCTGGACTGGATAAAAAATGTGGTACATATACACAGTGGAATATTATGCAGCCATAAAGAAGGACAAACATATGGATTTTGCAGCAACTTGGAAGGATTTAGAGTCTATCATACTCAGTGGTCTATCACAGAAGCAGAGAACAGAGTGCTGTATGTTCTCACTCATAAACAGACCTTGAACAATTATCATAATACTATAAGAAAGGGATTGGTAGTAGTGGAACACTGCAAGGGGAAGGGCTGGTGGAATTGGCAGTTGAGGGAAAATGTCAGGGAAGGGAGGGGCACACCTCATCAACAAGGTACCTGCATAATGAACATTTGTATACCTAACCCTGAATTGTAACCCACATCTTTAAAAAAAAAAAAAAGAAAGCTAGATATTTTAAAAAAAAAAAAAAAGAAGGAACTTCCAATGTATTTTATCCAAGGAATCATGCCTAAAACAGGGCAGCATTTTTGTCATGTTCTTTCATCAAACTTTTCCTTCACAGCATTTATTTCAGGGTGCGATGTATCTATTTGTTTGAAAAATTTTAAATATAGGTGATAGAAACTATGTCTGTATTTGTTCACCATTAAAAGGCCAGCACCTTACATAGGGGCTGGAACCTACTAGATATATCCCACATTGATCAATTAATAATAAATAAGCAAATGGCTTTCCATCTTCCCTTGTCTTTTCCTACAAAATAACATTGATAGTATAGAAATGCTATTTAATAAAAACATAGCAAATGAATATGTGCAAAATATGGTGGGTCTTGAGTGATTTTTGTGATTCTTTTTCTCTTTGTAGATTCCTTACCTATTCCTACCTCTTGGCCTTCAATGTGTGGCTTCTGCTTGCACCTGTTACCCTGTGCTACGACTGGCAGGTCGGTAGTATTCCTCTGGTAGAGACCATATGGGACATGCGGAACCTAGCCACCATCCTTCTGGCAGTTGTGATGGCCTTATTGAGCCTGCACTGCTTAGCAGCTTTTAAGGTAATTTTCTCAGAAATCAAATGAGCTCTGCATTTGAAGACAGATATTCTATACTCATAATGTTCTTTTTTGCACAGGGGATCTGGATCTAAATTGAATTTACTCTCTTTTCTCTACAACTTTGTATGTTTAAACTTTTCCTCGTAGGTAATATGTATCTTAAAGACCTTAGCAGAGTTACCAGACCCTTAATTAGATTGTTTTTTTACTGTTTCTACTAACTCTTTAGAAATTGAATCTGAAATTTAATGTATTCAAATAGTTGTTTGTTTGTTTTTTTCTGCTGTGCTTGACAAATTTTTGAAGTAACTTATTTGGTTTAACTTAATGCCAGATGAAATGGTGATAAATAACATATTCATAAATGCTTAAAATATGTTTAAGACTCAATTTCCACCAATGATCTACTGAAGCAGTTGGGTGTCTTGTCCCCCTACCTTCCCCAAACGGTATAAAACTGGACAAAATTATTAAATACAACCATTTCAAAAATGATCAAAGACAGCAAAAAAGAAAAAACTTGAAAATGTTCACTTTTGAAAAACTGCTACTGCATTGGCTAAAATGCTTCTTACCTGAGGGTGCTTCCATCCTCCCAGATCCGGTGGTAAAAATTCGTAAGTTTGCTGGCTAGAATTGACTGATTTGGTTTGGGATAGAAATAGAGCAGCTAGAAATTTAAGGGGAAGATTTTGGAAAAAGCAAGAGAGCTATAGAATGATTGAGATAATATACTTTCTGTAAATTTATGGCTGATTGCTAAATGACATGTATACATGAAACTTCCTGGGAAGCACAAGCAAAATTAAAAGCCGATGAGACTTACTTACCTGCTTCAAGTTTGAATGTATTCTTCAACCCATATACAGGTTAGGCTGCAGAGAATGGAAGCTTCACTGGCTTTAATTGTCTCTGTATAACCTCTGTCCAAATCATGGACTGATCATGAAGCCATGCAGACACCAAAAAGATCTCCAGAGATCTGGGCAAAAGAAAATAAAACAGCAAAAATTTCAGCACTCTGCTGAGAAACCGATTTTCCAATTTGAGTCAAGGCATGTTCGTCAAAAATATTAAAACAAGAGAACCAACAATTTCGGAAGAACAAAATAAAATCCAAAGTTACTACAGAGTATGACAAACAATGCCTAGTTTTTAACTAAAGATTACTAGACATGTGAAGAAACAGGAAATGAGATTTAAACCTAGTTTTTAAAAAAATTGTCAATAAAAAATGGAACAGAATTGAGATTCCAGAGCTAAACCCACACATATGTGACCAATTGATTTTGACAAAGTTGCCAAGATAATTCAACAGAGAAAGTATAAGATAGCTTATTAAATAAAAGATGCTGAAATAGCTGAATATCTGTGAGGAAAAAAATGAGCTGTATCCCTTACATCATACAATAACCAGCAATTAAACCTAAGTGGATCAGCTTCCAAACCAAAATATTAAATAAAACTAAAAATTATAAAAGAAAACAGGAGAACAACTTTGTAAGTTTAGATGAAATGTTTCTTAGAACACATAAAGTAAAAACTATAAAAGAAAAAGTTGATAAATTAGACATCAAAATTAAAAATTTTGCCAGCTGGGTACAATGGCTCATGCCAACAATCCCAGCACTTTGGGAGGTCAAGGCAGGAGGATCACTTGAGCCCAGGAGTTCAAGACCAGTTTAGTTAATATAGTGAGACCTCATCTCTACAAACAAAAATTGACAATTAACTGTGTATGGTGGTGCACGCCTGTAGTTCCAACTACTCAGAGACTAAGGCAGAAGGATTGCCAGAGCCCAGGAGGTCAAGGCTGCAGTGAACTGTGATGGTGCCACTGCACTCCAGCCTGGGCAACAGAGGGAGACCCCAACTCAACAACAGCAACCAAAACAACAATTTTGCTCATCAAAATATAATGTTAATTAAATGAAGAGGTAAGCCACAAATTAGGAGAAAATATTTGTAAAGCATATATCTACAAAGGACTTGTATCTTGGGATATTTAAAGTGCTCTTAAAATTCAACAAGAAGAAGACAAAATACTCATTAAAATGGGCAAAAGATACAAGTAGCCACTTCACAAAAGATATGCAAAGAAAGTTTTTAATAAACACATGAAAAGATACTCAGCATCATTAATAATTAGGGAAATTCAAATTAAATCCACAAAGATATACCACCACATACACACTAAAATGAGTGTCATTTAAAAGATTCACAACACTAAGTATTGGTCAGTGTGGAACAACTGGAACACTTATACATACTGGTAGGAATAAAAAATAGCTTGTCCACTTTGGAAAAAATTGGCAATTTCTGAAAAAGTTAAACATAAAATTAAACAATTCTAAGCACCAGTATCTACTGAAAAGAAATGAAATATGTATTCACACAAAAGTCTTGTATGTGACTATTCATGGCAGCTTTACAAATAATAGCTGAAAAGTGGTAGCAGTCTAATGACCTAACTTTTATTTTTTATTTATTTATTTTTTTGAGTTGGAGTCTCACTCTGTTCCCAGACTGGAGTGCAGTGGCCGCTCCTGGCCACCGCAGCCTCAACCTGCTGGGCCCCGGAGATCCTTCCGCCTCAGTCTTCCAAGTAGCTGGAACTACAGGCGCGCGCTACCACGTCCGGCTAATTTTTTGATTTATTGTAGAGACAAGGTCTTGCCAAGTTGCCCAGGCGGATCACGAACCCGCGGGCTCAGGCAATCCACTTACCTCAGCCTCCCCAAGCGCAGGATTACAGGCTGAGCCACTGAGCCCGGCTATGACCTAACTTTTAAATGGGCAAACTTAAAGTGGTAAATTACTCAGAAATGTAAACGAACACACTACTGATACATAAAACAATGGGTGAACGTGGAACTAAATGAAAAAAGCCAGGCATAGAAGACTATATACTATATGCTTCCATTCATATCAGATTCTAGAAATGGAAGAATTATAATGACAGAAAACATGATTGACTGTAAGGAGATTTGAAAAAACTTTTTGAAATGTTTCATGCTTTTTAAAATGTGATTGTGGTGGTAGTTGCTGAACCACATACATATATTAAAACCCACCAAAATATCCATTTAAAATGTGTACATTTAGTGTATGTGAACTGTACCTCAATAAAGTACAAAATGATTGAAATACAATAAATAGGTTAAAGACTGAAGTGAATAAGGATTCAAATTTTAATATAAAATATAAAATGTGGTCCTGAAAATTTGATGAAAAAAATTTAAATGATTTACACACCTTTTTTTTATTTTAGGTGAAAGTCATGTAACATACAATTAACCATTTTAAGGCGTACAATTTAATGCTACTTAGTGTATTCACAATTCACAACTACCTGCATTTTCTAGTTTCAAAGCTTTTTTATGATCTATAAAACACCTCCATAGTCATTAAGTAATCACTCACAGCTCTTCGTCTTCCATCCCCAGTCACCTCTAATCTACTTTCTGTCTCTATGGATTTACCTATTCTGGATATATCAAATAAAAGGATATCGAATATATGACCTTTTGTGTCTGTCTTCTTTCACTTTGTATGATGTTCTTGAAGTTCAATGAAGTTGTAACTTGTAGCAATACTTCCTTCCTTTTTATGGCTGAATAACATTCCGTTGCATGTATTGTACTGGCAGAAAAACTCCAACTTCATCCTCTTAGGATCCTGGCTGGGTTTAACAATTAAACTAACATAAGACAGATTAACAAGAGAAAAATATACAGTTTATTTAATATAAGTTCTACCCTCATAAATTAAAACCCAGAGAAGCACTTAGAGTCTGTTACTTATATGCTGAATTGGACAAAGAATAGTAAGTTGTAAAGATGCAACTAAATTATATGGGAAAGCTTGAAAGATAAGAGTTACTTTACAGTTCTATAAGAAATTCTCTTGGATTCTGCTCCTTGTCCTTGGGGATAAGAATGTTGTATCTTTCTAGTACAGGGAGGGCATCTTTCACTTGGAAATTCCATCTTCTGCTTTTAAGAAACAGACAAGAAGTTCAAAGTGATCTTCCTGCTGTTTTTCAAGTGTTGTTAATTTAAATAGTAAATATGCCAGGATAGCATATTTTAACTTCTTCAGTATACGCCACAGTTTGTTTATTCATTGATGGACATTCAGTGTTTTTCAACCTGTGAGCTATTACAAATAACATTACTATACACTTTTATGTACACTTTTCTCTGTGGACATATATTTTTATTTCTCTAGAGTGTGTAACTAGGAATAGAATTGTTGAGACATAAGATAATTCTATTCTAAACTTTTTGTGAAATTACCAAACTGATTTCCACAGTGGATGCGCCATGTTATATTCCTATCAGAAATGTTCTGGTATTTCTATTTCTCTACATCCTTACCAACACTTGTTATTTTTTTATTTTAATTAAGTCTCTCCTAGTGAGTTTGAAGAGGTATCTCACTGTGATTTTGATTTGTATTTCCTTAATGATTAATAACATGGAGCATCTTTTCATATGCTTATTGGCTATCCTTATATCTTTTTGGAGAAATGTCTATTCAAGCCCTTTGCCCATTTTTTAATTGAGTTGTTTGTCTTTTTGTTGTTGCATTTTTTTTTTTTTTTTGAGTTGGAGTCTCACTCTGTTGCTCAGACTGGAGTGCGGTGGCCGCTCCTGGCCACTGCAGCCTCGATCTGCTGGGCTCCGGCGATCCTTCTGCCTCAACCTTCCAAGTAGCTGGAACTATAGGTGCGCGCTACCACGCCTGGCTAATTTTTTTGATTTATTGTAGAGATGAGGTCTCGCCAAGTTGCCCAGGCAGGTCTCAAACCCGCGGACTCAGATAATTCACTCACCTCGGACTCCCAAAGCGCGGGATTACAGGCTGAGCCATGGAGCCTGGCTTTGTTGTTGCATTGTAAGGATTCTTTATACATTCAAGATAGTAAGCCCCTAAAATATATTTGGAAATATTTTTCTCTTATTCTATGGGTTGTTTCTTCACATTCTTGATGATGT